CTGCCGTTGCCCAGGGCGCCGTCCTGGCCCACGGCCCGGACCAGCGTAATGATCAGCCACTCGGTGTTGATGATCACCTCCACCAGGGTCAGCAGCAGGGCCACGGCGAACAGCACCCAGCCCCGCGGCCCCTGGTTCTTTCGGGCCAGGAAGTTGAGGGCGAAGACGTGGGCCACCAGGCAGGAGAAGCAGATGGCGAACAGGACGCCGAAGAGGAAGCGCCGGGAGGCGCAGGTGGAGAAGTCGGGCTTCACCACGCAGGCGAACACGAGGCAGAAGAGGCCGAGCGTCCCCAGCAGGAAGAACACCTGGGTCCCCAGCAGGCTGCGCTTCTTGGTGTCCTGCACGAAGGGCAGGCTGGCCACAAGGACGATGGTGAGGACAAAGGTGGTGACCACGCCCGCCCCGGCCACGGCCTCCAAGACGATGCCCCAGGCCCCGGAGCGGTCACACAGGTTATAGTAGAGGGGGTTGAGGTCGGGGCTGCAGCCGGGCGGGGCCCGGTTCTGGGCCTGCGCCCCCGGGAACGGGAAGAGCAGCAGTCCCAGGCAGGTCAGCAAGGCTCTGTGGGTGGCCATCCTGGCTCCCAGGCCAGGCTCCCGCGGGGTCCCTAAAGGCGGAGGGAGAAAAGGCACAATCAGTCCTCCCCAAAGTCAGACATTGGTGCGGCTTCCCGGAGCCTGAACCAGGGCGGACGGTGCACGCCCATCAGGAGACTGTGCCCCTGGGCTTCAGAATCCTTCTTAACACAGAACTCCTGGAAGGCCTGCCAACCGACCAGAGTGGCAAATGAGATGAAGCCCATTTGTCATTCCTATTCAGGGAAGAGGAAGGAATTGTCATTGCATTTTCAGGTCCCACCCCCATAATGTGGATCTAAATATTCCCTGAGTTCTTACACCCAGGGGGGGGGGGGCTTATGAGCAAGTCAAAACCAAAGCATGCCACCCATTCAGCACTTCCTCTCTTGCTCTAGGACTCCCAGCGTTCAGTAGGCCAGATACCATGCTCCTGAATGCTGTCTATGGGATGCCGGAGTCCATGGTGGATCAGCCTAAGTTTACTGAGTCCGTCATTCATTCATTCAAGTATTTCACAAGCCCCTGTGACAGGCATAACTTGCAGCCAGAAAAAGGAAGAGAATAAAAAAAAAAAAATGAAGAAAGTTGAAAGTTGTGCTTATCAGCACTTCCCCCTGACCCCTCCCTCCCACTTCCCTTTTCTGCCCTTCCCGCTCCCACTTTTAGTGCCAAAGCCTCTCTTCAGAATCCAAAGTTCTCTGTGTAGCTCCAATGCATAAGCGTCAGGATTAAGTAATTTCCCAGCGAGGGAGTTAATGACTTAATGCGAAACTTCTCCTACGAGGCGCTCACATTTTAAAAAGCAAGAACCAGGCAAGGGCAATGCAAAACCCAAAGGAATGAATCTATAATGGAAAACGCGAAAACACTGCCACTGAAAGCAAGAAAAATGCCTTTTATTCACACCAGGAAGCGAACTTATTATTCTAGCCGCTCATTCGGCCACTCCGGCTGCAGCTTTGCCAAAGGAAGCCAAGCTCTGCTCTCAATGGCAAGTGGCTGTTCCCTGTATGAGGCGGAAGTACAGAATGTGGAGGTAAAGGGAAATAAAAGACCAAACCAATGAGTTTCCCAACCAAAGGCTTTACATGTACTTGGGGAACAGAAAATGTAAATGCTCTAAAACGTAAGTTGTAAATTCCGGAATTCTATGCAACGCAGGTGCTCCACATTTAAAGGTATTCTGTGCTCAAATACTAGCGATAACCCTCCCTCTTCCTCGCACCCCTTGGGCCCAGGAACTCGCCAGAAAGACAGCAACCCAGCTTTCCTGGCTGACAGTGACCACTGGTGGCTGGCAGGGGAATGGCACGATCCAACTCTAGCATCCCCACCACCTCTCTTCCCATTTTGGGGGTGGGAGGGAGAGGGAGAGAGAGAGGGAGGAGGTTTAGTCCCTTCTGTTTTCACCATTCCTGGTTCCTTAATTTCTAAAAGGAAACAAAAGATCCTAAATCTCAGTCAATATAAATCGTCTCTCCACAATTAAGTGGAAGGACACTGCTACTGTCGGGAAGAAGAAAATACATAAATTAAGTGAAACTGACATAATCAAGATCACCCATTTTCAACAACAGTTTAGATATCCCACGTGCCCCTTAAAGATATTTTAGGGATCTCCGCCTTCTCAGCTACCTCCTCATCTTTCAATTAAGCTTGCTTTTCCCATTAACTCTTTTTTAATTAAATTATTTTTCAATTACAGTCGACATACAACATTATGTTAGTTCCAGGTGTACAACACAGCAATTAGACATTTAAACACCTTACAAAGTGACCACCCATCCACTCGTAATAAATTAACATTCTGTGTGAATTTTTCTATCGTTTTTTTTTTCCTAAATAACTGGCACTTCTCCTGGCTTCCGATGTAAAAGCAGGTTTCCCTATGTCGTGACTTAAATAATCTTTTTCCAGAGACTGTGTGTAATCACAGATCAAGAAAGCACAC